TCATTTTTCCTAGACAGTAATACATGTCTATTACACAAATATATTTTTTTAAAACGTAAAAAAAAATCGTCCATTTAAGGGTTAATTTGTAAAAATACATCTATTTTAATGCACAGATAATTAAATATACACATGTCATTGGTTTTATTATTGTCTAACAGATGGCGTTCAAAACAGCGCAAATTGTAATGAAATAGGTAAAATCTTCATTTCTTTAAATATAAAATAGAATTTTGTAATTGTTAAGGTATCTTCTATATATAAATTGAATTTACTGTGCTGAAAAAGTAAAATTTTCTTAGTAAAGTGTACCACAACCTTAAGCATTGTGGTACACTATACTTGTCACTGAGGGGTCACTTTTCTTGTTCCCATAAACTGTTTCTTTCTATTCGTCTTTCATTCTTTAAAATCAAATGAAAATTAACCTTTAAATCAAAAATTATGGTTTTGACTGAAATGAAATCATTAAACTAGGCTATAGTTTTTTTTACTAATCCATAATGCAGGTAACTAAATTAATGTATAATTAATGTATAGTTGGTATAAAAGTGTCATAACATCCTTTGGCAACAATTGTTATATTAATTAAGTAATTATATGAGCGAGATACTTTGTAGCGTTTGTAAATTCATTGGTGTTTAGCCAATAATAAGTTTTTGGTAGGTATTTTAAAACTCGATTCTTGTAACTATAATAATATATTGTATATGTTATAATTTAGACGAAGATTAAGGAAAAAAGGTTTCACAGCGAATTCGATCGAGACAGAAAAAATCCAGCTCCCTATTAAGTCCATGCTTTTGCATTTTCGTTTCATACTAAAAAAATTATAATTTATTAGCACGGTCCCTATCAGTGGACATCAAAGGCATTGTGAAAGATGAAAGTTCGATCGTAAATCTCTGATATATCAGATACGTGAGTGACAGTAGTGGTGCAGTCGTGCGGCCGAGCGGTCGTGCGGTCGTGCGGTCGTGCGGCTGAGCGCCGGCGCCGCGTTGCTCCGCGGAATAAAACACGTTATGTATTTTATACATTCAAATATCTTATATTTATTACATGTATTACCTCATATTAAATCTACAAATTTAAGGATCGTGGTTGTGCGCTGGTTAATTACAAAATATATTTTATTTTAAATTTTTCACTAGCCCGCGACTCCATCCGCTCGGAATGGATAAAATCTAATTAGTGGCCTATGTATTCTTCCAGACGTTGTTCTACATTTATCCCAAATTTTAGCGACATCCATGCAGTCGTTCCGGAGATACCCTTAACAAACATCCATCCATCCATTCAAACACTCGAATTTATAATATTAATAAGAAGAGATTTAAGATTAGTAAGATAAGATTTAATTACAAAAAAAATTACGCAATGGATTAGGATTATTTACTATTAGTTTGTTCGCTTGATGCGACACTGACGACCTCCATATGTTCACGTAGTGCCAGCAGGCAGACACGATGCGGTAAATATTGTGAGCGCCGATCTGCTCGCTCCACGTGGAGTAGCAACTTTGTTAAATATTCGTGTAACCAATAACGTGAGCTTAACATAAATGTAATCTTCATTTGCTGTCGAGAAATAAATAATTAAATTAAATAAATTGTACACGGAGACTAGAACCGGAGAATAATTCGTAGCGAAGGATGTTATCTGGACGCGAGTAGCGTCCGTGTCAGACGCCGCCGTCATCGCGGGCCAGCAGCGCGGCCGCCTCGGGGGCGCGGGCGGGGCCGGGTGTGGGGCCGGGGCCGAGTGCGGGGCCGGGGCCGAGTGCGGGGCCGGGGCCGGGTGCGAGTCCGGGAGCGACGGCGTCCAGCGCGGCCTGAATAGAGTGCGCCCGCAGCGCGCGCGTCTCCATGCCCTCCACCTTCTCCAGCTTCTTGATGACGTCCGTCGATGCATTGTAGAATATCAGAAGCTTATTGTTCTCTTTGAAGTTTTTGATCATCTTCGCCAGAGCCTGGAAAAGTCGAAAACGAGAATCGGTCGAACGAAGCCTTTGCCATATCGTTTTTGAAAAATAGCAACGAACGTCGTAAAAAAATAGCGGTTCAATTCTACTTAGCAACATTCCGGACGTGGCTTCATTTCGAGCACTATTAGACCGGAGGATATTCGGAGGCCGAGGGATTGGTTGTACTCGCATTCTGCGCGATCGTATAAATGCTTATATAGTCAGCAGCGGAACCAAATTGATAAATGTCACTCGAGACGGGGGCAAAAATGTTTTAGCGCATGGTGGCGCGGGGTGGCGCGGGGTGGCGTGGGGTGGCGCAGTGTGGCGCGGGGTGGCGCGGGGTGGCGTGGGGTAGCGTGGGGTCGCGCGGGGTGGTGTAAAATGGCGCGGGGTGGCGCGGCGGAGAGACCTGCGCGGCGGTGTAGTCGAGCATGGCAAGCACGCCGCAGTCAAGCAGCGCGGCGTGGTGCGCGGCCGCCGCTCGCTCCACGCGCTCCGCAAACCGCGCGCAGTTCAGGTAGAGCAGCGCCCGCGTGGGCCGCGCGCGCACCGCCTCGCCCCACGAGCACTGCAACACGCGATACATCTCTGTAGTCCTCGTCGAGTATCGGTGGCGGTAGCGGCAGCGGTTCGCTGCGTGCTCTCTAGCACTAGAACCTTGACTTTGTGCAGATGCAGCGGCGCGCGCTGCAGCGCGAAGTGCGTGGCGGCAAGGCCGGCCAGCGCGCCGCACAGCACGGCCAGCTCCACGCTGCGCCACACGCCCACGCCGAAGGTGAGCGCTACCACCGCCAGCTCGCGCCGGTCGTGCCGCCACAGCCGTAGCGCCGTCTGCCAGTCCACCTGCGACCGCAACACCTCACTCGGTCACGTCGTCCCAGACCCCTGCCAGATGTATTCTGTGCGATCTTTTAGATAGGATAATTTACGGTAAAACTCGGCAACCGGATCGACTCCTTCCGCGGGCCGACTTGAATCATTGAGACGGAGCGCAATTGCAGATTTAATCGATGTTTAAAAGTATTTTTGTGACTCACCATAAAGATGACGGCGCAAACGAGCACGGAGGATATGCAGGCCTTCGGGATGAAGTGGAAGTACTGCGCGAGGAACTGGAGCGCCAACAGCGTCACCACCCCTGCACACACCGCACCCCCTCTTCTCAATCGGATCGTCTATACCTACTTATACTGTGGCAAAATCGACCCTCACAAATGTCTCTACCTCCCCCACAAAAGATGTAATTATCGTGTCGTCGCTCGTTGTCAAATGTTACGACTGATTTTAGAGTTTAAATAACAGTAAGTGACCTTGATGAAATGATCGTGCCCGGCACACAAGTATGTGGAGTTGTGTGGGTTGTGTGGGGTGTGTGGGTTGTGTGGGGTGTGTGGGGTGTGTGGGTTGTGTGGGGTGTGTGGGTTGTGTGGGGTGTGTGGGTTGTGTGGGTTGTGTGGGGTGTGTGGGGTGTGTGGGGTGGGGCGAAGTACCTGCATAGAGGCCGGCGGCGGGCGTGCGCACGCCGCTGGAGTGGGCGACGGCGGAGCGCGTGAAGGCGCCGCAGGTGGGCATGGCGCGCACCAGCCCGCCAGCCAGGTTGCACAGACCCAGCGTCACCATCTCCTGCGCCGCGTCCACGCGCCCGCCCTCCGCTGCACACCACCACGACACATTAACCCCCTGCACTGCCTGCCCGCCCCCCGCACTTCAATTCGAGTGTCGTACCCGAGCAAACCTGCCGCCGATGTCAAATGGACCGCTTTTGACCGGCGCGGGTATAAAAATATAGATAGAGAACAAATAAATGTAGGGAAGTCTTCGGGCTCGATATTTAAGTACGAAAACGGCAGGCGGCGGTGGTAGAAGGCATTGAGGAAATTTGTATATGAAATGTGTTTGTTTACAGAAAGCTTTGGCGATGGCGATGTTGGCGAGCACCATGACGAGCGGCAGCAGGAGCACGCCGGCGCCCAGCTCGCGCACCATCTCCGCGAAGCCCAGCGTGCGGTTGCCGAGCTCCGCGCTCAGCGGGGGCAGCCGTAGCCGAGGCAAGCCCGCCTCCACGCGCCCTGCCCTCGTACCACATCGCAATGTTGTTCAAATTTATTACTAATATCGATGGTCGGCTTGTCGGTGTATCAGCGTGTCGGCAGAGGCGGACTCACCGCTGAGGCGCAGCAGGGGACGCGCGGGGTCGTGCGTGCAGTAGGCGAAGGTGGCGGCGGCCAGCACGACCAAGGCGTTGCGCCCGATTGATACCAGCCACAGCGCCTTCTTCAGCTTGCGTCGCTTCGGACCCACATTTACGTCCTTTAATTTCTATATAATAAATAAAAAATTGTAATCATTTTTATAAATTCCAACCAAAACCAGCTTGTAAAGAATCAACGGTACACCCCAGATGAGGGACGCGCAGAAATCCTACAGAATGTGCAAGGGTGGTTCCAGCGCGGGCGGGCAATTCATCTTCTAATATCACATTTTGCTCTCCGGTGTTGTCATACAGAATGAAAGCTATGACAAAATGTATGTACTAATACAAGTGTCACTGAATATATTCTACATACAAAAACTTTATTACTCAGTCCGCTGAGTTGTTATTTTTTTGGAAATAAAATAGACAATGATGTCACCAAGTTGAGATGTGCGTGGTAACGAGATAGCTGACGAGTAAGGTAAAAGATTTGACGGGAGTAAGGCAGTGGGGTAGTGGGGCAGTGGGCCGACGAGGCAGTGGCACTCACCCGCAGCAGCAGCAGCGTGGCGCAGCAAAGCAGACTGAGCAGGCAGTCGGGCAAGCGTATGTCGCGCCACCGCGTCGCGATCAGCGCCACGTTCTCCGCCACGCTCTCGGCCATGAAACTCAGCCCCAGCAGGCCCTTGAGTTGCGCCACCGTGATGATGACCGCCGTCGCCGAGGTGAAGCCGCTCGTCACTGACGGCGATATCAGCTCCACCAGGAAACCTGCGCCCACGCCAACACATGCGTCCGCGTCATCATATAATAAAAAACAATTATTTAATTGCATCATTATTTATTTGCACTTACAGTCAAAGAATGTTGCAGTGTTCCACTTTCGAATTAAAAGATGAAAAATTCCGCCCCTTCTTACAAAATAACCGAATATGTAGGAGCGAGTTGCGCAAAGGACGACATAATAGTAAAAACGGAATTAGTCGTGTACCTTTTTCATACAGACAGATTTGGATTATTGGATATTGTTTCAGTTCGTCGTCTTATTGCTTGTCGCTTTTAAGTTTCTCCGATTGTACATAAGTACCTAAATGTAATAAACAAACATGAGTAAAAGGAAATTTGCCCGTGCTTAGGATTCGTGTAAAAATACACGTTTGTCTGTTTGCCGAGCGCGAGCGCTGCCGAGCGGGCGGCGGGCGGCGGGCGGCGGGCGGCGGAGATAAGCGGCTTTGTGTCAGTCTTATTGCGAACAAATACACATTACTTATATTGTACTCATATAAATGTTTGTTTTACAAGTAACTGCCATTATATTCAAGATTATTTAATCAAACGGTCAAAATAAAATTAAACTAAAATCCTTTTCAAACTGGCAAGGCTATTAACGAGCAAATTAAACGTAATATATTTGCTTACTAACTATACGAACATCGCGGTGTAACCAGGGCGATCAGCAACGCGGCGGCGCGCTGTGAATGAGCGTCTTAGTACTTGCGTGCGTGGAGTGCGGACACATAATGTGCTTCAGTAAAAGGCATTCGAACACTATATTCTTATTCCTTTTATCTCACCACTTAGTTAGTTAACAATCGAAATAAAAATGAATAATGCAGTACAGCATAATGACCGTGTACCAAATGAAAACTGCACTGTGAGCTAACCACTCGTAGCGTTGGACGTGTTTAATAAAACATTCATATATCCATCCAAATTGTCGCATTATATAATACCTACTAGGTAATATTGTGTTTGAACAGTGTGTAAATAAAATGTATGACTCACCGAGCTGCAGCAGGCCCATGAGCAACACGAAGCCGCCCGACAGGAAGGTGAGCAGCACGACGAAGTCTGCGGGCAGGCCGCGGCACGTCTGCAGCGTGAGCAGCGCCATCAGGCTAGTGGGCCCGATGGACACCTCCTTCACCGTGCCCAGCGCCACGTACAATATAGTACCTGCCCACCAATGCCATTGTCATACTTCAAATTTCTGGCTTTCACTGCTCTACAATGATTTTGCAACTACATATTGACGTTAGGCATATTGCAACATTATTGGAGCTGTCGCTGGCAGCTCGTAGGGGACGAAACCGGAGGAGCAGTTGCGCCCCTACACTCCCACCACACAAAGCTCTTGTGGTTAATTAAGTCCAGCGCGAGTTACGCCAGAACATCGACAAGATCTCATCTAAAAGTGAGATAGTATGGATTTGGTGGGCGAGGCAACTGGCCCGGCTGAGAGTAGGTGCCATCGGAGTTCTACAAGCGACCTCACGAGCCATCATCGGCCGCCAATGTCACTAGACACCAGGAGCCGCTCACGAAGCGATAACTTAATAATAGGACTCGCATCGGGGACTCAACAGCAAGGAGACAAACCAATGAAAGCCGAATAGAGTCCGTATTGCGCGGGGAGATTGGCGAGCGCGGCGTAGGCGATGCTCTGAGGCACCAACATGAGGCCGAGCGTGACGCCCGCCACAGCGTCGGCCGCGGCCGTCGCGCGCGTATATCGCCTCGCCCAGCACAGCACGGGCAGGCGCCGCGTCAGGGCCGCCCTCCAGCCGCGCACACCTTCCTGCTCCTCCACCAGCGATGTGCCCTCTTCAGTGTCCATGGCACCTGGCACGCTGTCCAGCGCTCGTCCTCGCCGCACGGCACGCTCGCACACCGTGTCGCGACTGACGCCGCGCATCGCTCACATTATCTTTAGTAGGAACCTTTGTTGCCGCAAGTAAATAAGATAGCGCGACGTTGACAATTCTCTCCTGCTGTCTAATGATTATCCCGATATATTTATTAATAAATATACGTTATCTTTATGTGTGTATGTCTTGTGTTATGTATTCGCCAATAAAGGCATTGGCGCTTCGAAAGCGCGGTGCTGCAGCTCGATGCGAGAATCGTACGTTTTTACTAAAATAGCTTATAAGTAGTTTTAGTCAGTTGGTTAAATAGTTAATAACTTCAATGATGCTATATATGAACATAATGGTAATTTACGAAAATAAAAGTGCAATATTGATTCCCAAAGTGGTCCAGTCGACCATTAAGTCCTCGGAAAACCCGGCGGAGGTGCACAATATCGAGAAATAAAGTTCAGATACTCAGCTATACACTAAAACACACTAGTTGGTTCCGGCGACTGCGTCCGCGCGAACGATCTACTTTCAGAAAACTAAAAACCCTGCTAAGTAATCTAGTGGTGTTTTAGGTGACATATTGCGATACAATTTCCTTGAAAACGTTTTATATATTTTCGAGTAATTTCAATTATGAAAAAATATGTCTTCGTATATATCAATTTTGAAAAAGGAGACGAAAGTGTGCTTTCTTCCCCCTTCTTTATTAGAGCTTTAATATAAATAATAATTTCTAACATTTTAAAGGGGTTTTATATTAACTAAATGTGCTAATGTTTTTACATAAAATGAGTTCTTATTTTAGAATATTCATATTTTATTTAGCAGGGCTTTGGAAAGTGTTCATCTACTCGAACAAACCGAAAAATTGTTTTTTTAGTATAAAAAGTATTTGTGAGTTCGAATCGAATTTAGAATTTTACTTTGTACCCTATGGCACTATGTAATAACATCTGCACAAAGCACATACACATACATGCTGACATCCCTACGACACTCCGCTTCCCCCATCTAGGTCGTCACAATGGACCTGACATGCAGTGGCAGACTTTGTTGTAAATAATTTATTTATATGAAAACCAAACTTTGCTGTGTGACTTTATAAGCAGATTGGGCAATGTAAGCGGAGATAATAAACGGATTCTACCAAGATTCTACTGTATATACAAACCCACATTCATATGCGAGAAAAACATTACCCTTTTGTCAGTTTGGTACAAACCAGTTCTTAGCGAATGCATATTATTTATTTATATTATGCAATAACATACTATGTATGTGTGCAACCTTTCAAATCTTCAGAGCCGTAGTGTTACTTATATTAGAACTGTGAATGTTAGGCTATATATTTGTTAAAAGGTTTCTCCCGAACGGCTGCATAGATCTCCATGTACAACAGTATATTTTTCTTTCCCATGCATTCTCTCATCCCAAAATCCACATCCAATTCCCATACTTTACTTATAAAAAACGGGTGGAAAAGAAAAGAGGACTAAAATTTAGGTCTCCGGAACGCCCACTCATCAGACTCAGAGAGAGAGAGAGAGCGAAGATGTAAAAGCGGGCTCTACAACTGGCAAGGTAGTCAGTTTCTTGTTTTATTTATATAAGGAGAGTTGCCAACAGCTTTCCAACTGAGCATGTGATCGGAGCCTGAGCTCCCCCCCCCCTCTCTCCCTCCCTCCATGTTCAGCATCGATAGAATCACCATGTTAGAGATAAGGATAATCATAAATAAATAGATAAGGCAATTTTAGCACCATACACTTTTTTATTGATATACAAGAGCAGACGCCGGCGCAGGCGGCAGGGCAGCCCTCGTGTCCCTCAACCCTATGCTTTTATACTATACCCTATACTATTTATTCACGTATTCACATTTATCCCGTCGTTATTAAAATTTTACAAAGATACAAGAGGAGAATAATAAGTTACGCTCTGACAAATATTTTAAGATCGGAGGCGAGCTCCCGCAGAGTGAGCTGCCCGCTCCCGCTCCCGCTCCCGCTCCCGCTCCCGCCGCCGCCGCCGCCGCCTCACATCACTTCACCTTATACATTAGTAATAGTATACATCAATTACATAATTACAAAAAACAAACGCTAGTGGTTACGGAGGAGTCCCCGACACGCAGCAAGCGCCTCACGCGCCTCACGCGCCTCACGCGCCTCACGCGCCGCACGGAGAGGCGGCTTACTTGACCTTCTGCAGGATGAGGTCGATCTGCTCGTCGAGCCGCGGGCTGGTGCCCCTGCGACCGCACACGATACAAGTCAGCGGGCGCCGGGGGCGAGGGCGCGACCTCACTCCCCCACACTACAGACAAACCCCCGCAGTCGCAGACGCCTATTTACCTATTTATCTGTTCTTTTAATCATTTATTCTTTGTTTAATTTTGAAACAATTTAATTTCAATTGTTATTTAAAAAACAATAACTGCGACATTATCATTCATTCGGTCATTCGGTCATTCGGTCATTCCAAGTTCTATGAGAACAACTATCGATTTTATGTAACCTATTTCTACTGAATTATCGAAATAATATTAAGGTACAACACAACGCGATCACAATGCAATGCAATGCAATGCGATCACCGACATTTATGTATTTTGTCGTCGCCTCTGTGTTGAATACATCTTTGTTCTGTAGTTGCCGTTTATTGTTTAAATAACATTTTTATATTTCCGGTATTAAGTTGTCATTCATGTTGGTGTGACACTTTGAGCGATGTTGAAGTTGACAAAACACAAACTTCAGCGACTGCCGCAACTCCGCAGAGAAAATAAGATCTTTCAAAAGTCGCAAAAAAACTCAAAAAAATTCAAATTATTTTTGCCAAAGCTTGCAAAATTACTTGTTAATTTTCACCGAATGAAAGATCTCGGAGGTAACAAACTGGCGTTCCATATTCGCGGTGTACATATATAGAACGTAATCCCTGTCGACTGCGGAAGTTTTGCTGTAGTGGGGGGAGAGTGGGAGAAGAGGGCGAAGAGGCTACCTGTAGGCGGCGGGGTCGGGGCCCACGACGGCGACCAGCTGGGGCACGTCGGGCGAGTGGTGCGCCAGCCGCGCCAGCGCACTGCATGCGCGCCACACGTGCTCCTCGCTCGCCGCCGGCTCCGCGCGCAGCAGCTGCAGCGCCGCCAGCGCCAGCTCCGCGCACACCTCGTCGAACACCTGCCCCGTCACGTCGCCCCCGCACGCCGCCCCGACACCGTGCAATTGTCAAATCGATCACATTTTATAGTTGTAACAAAAATCTTAGCATACATCTAATAGTACTAAAAGCATGGGAATAGTAAGTTGTAGAAAGTTCTCAAAAATGACATTAGTTTCGACGATACGCATATGTTAAATAAATGTAAGAAGGAGCGGCACTCAGGCGCACCACTTCGACACTCAAGGATACTGATGTATCGGGTGTGGCCGAGACCTGCGCACCTATGACACATGCGCACGCCACCCTTCACCTCATTGTCGACATCTCGCGCCTGCGCTCACCTCGCTACACTCAACTATACCAAGAGGCCGATTATTCCTTTCTTACATTACCATAAAAGTCATATTTCTCCGAAGAGGTTTTGTAATAATGTTGTTGCACTCGGTCACATTACTTATGTACGTATCATTTGATGTGCGAGTGTGAAATACATTTGTGAAACGAAGTTGTTACTGTTGTTGGCGAGTGATGATGTCGACACTATCGCTGCGTGACAGTAATCACCGGCTAATATTGACAAAGAGCTGAGCGCGGCGGCGGCGGCTGTCATGTCGCGGACGGGCGGCGACAGCGCCTTTTCACAATTAATTGTTGTATATACTAAGAAATAAGAAAACAGAGATATTTCACAGATAGCGCAATTATTACGTCTCCAACACTGTAACAATACAATAACCGCAAGGTGCGCGGGGACAGTCGAGGTCAGCCGGCGAGGGAACGCGCAAATCTTTGCCAAGGTGTACTCAGATAAGGCTCATCACATTAAACATATTTACAGATCTATTTTCAGAGCAGAGGTTAGCCGGCGCAATGTCACGGCCACCATTATATGTCTTTCTGTTCTAAGAACGTCTATTAGATTACTCCAACCATTTCTATAATTAGTCTTTTAGATTCGATTTTAATGTATGTCGGTGGCGAGAGCCGAGCTGTGCTCGTCGCAGCTACGTCGCGCCACAAACATACGATGCGCAAATGCGCAGTTTGTATCATAACAACTAGTTGTAAGCTTTGTAAACATGCTTTTCCTAGATCATATTATCGATAACTGTTACTTTATCTTGTGCTGAACAATACAAGTTAACAAGAATGTGGCTTTACGACATATTATATCTGCGGGTGCCTATACGCCTAGAAATAAACCCATCGGAAATGTCTTACGATAAGTAAACTTTTGCATGAAATGAATATTTTTAATATGAAGTAAAATAGTTAAGATTAGAGGTGAGCAGGGGGAGGGTAGGGCGGAGCTCGATATGTGGGGATTGGGTGTCAGAGTGCGCGGCGTACCTTGCACTTGGCGGCGGCGGGCAGGCGGCCGCGCACCCCGCGCCACGCCGCCAGCCGCTGCAACAAGCATCGACTGCACACGTGCCTCGCGTGCATCACATGCCTCATGCACCGCACGCGCCTCACATGCCTCACGAGCCTCACGAGCCTCACACACGGGACGCAGACGATCGCATCGACCGTAGACAGACACGGATTTGTTCGTGAAGGAAACGCATACCTCATCGTTTTTTAAATTTATTATTTTCTTAACTTTTTCTATCGGTAAGATCGAAAAATATTATTCATATTTCATGATTTTATTAGTAATTCGTACTTAATCCATTAGTGCATAACGTTCAATAAATCGGACGCAAATAAAATTGTTATTTTATGAGTTATAAATATTTTACTAACCGTTTATTTTTTTAAACATTAGTGTAATATATATTTGAAGTGGTAATACTGTTGGTATGACATTCCGGGAAGCGATTTATCGGACGGGCTATAAAATCTAAACTTTACTAAGGTCACAAATAAGTAAGGCGGCTCGGCTCGCTCGACACCATGCCGCAAGAGGCACCTGCAATAAGTTATCGCGTCGGATACTCGACATCCACCCAGTGAGGGATCAGAGGTGGCAGCAAGGCGCTGACTGCATTCGATTACATTAAAGAAAAGGATTCTGTTGGTGGAGACAGAATTGTGAGTTGCAGTGAGCAGTGACAGATAAGATGGCAGATTCCGTCGTTGTTAGATTCACACTAGCGAGCAGTTACGTGGGGGAGGAGGGTCTAGCCTAGCCGTCAGTCTGACAAGACAAACAACAAATAGCGGTTCGATAGTATTTTTCAAATCGCGCGTCGCCGTCGCGTCGGCGGCGACGCTAATCTCGAGCAAACACAAATCGTAACAGTTTGTGGTAGTTTTCCTCGAGCCGCCGCGAACGCTCTCCGCGCTCAGCAAATACACATAAATGTAGCACTTTCCTACCTGCCTTACGACTACTTATGATGGGTGTTTGTATGTGTGTAAATACACTGTGACCACCCACAGCTTCAACGACAGACATGGCATTAGATTCATCTTCTTTCCCGAAGTCTACTATATATACATCGGCATAAAACATATATGGTGCTAGTGAAATTATAAAAAATTGCTTAAAGAACAAGTTCAAATCTCAATCGCAAAACTAATTCGTGTATATGGTGAAGGTGGCGATCTGGGCTAGGCGGTCAACTAGCGCGTGAGGAGGAGGAGGTGGAGAGCGCGGGTAGGTGGGGGGAGAGGATACTGACCACGGTCTTTACCTCCTTGGTGGCGACGTTGTAGAGCAGCGCCGTGCCAGCCTCGCGCAGCTCCGGCTCCTCGCTGAGCGCGCAGTGCACGCACACCTGCATCACACGTCACCTCACGTCACCTCACGTCACCTCACCTCATCTCACACTTCTCTACTTGCCGATATAACCAGGTATAGACAGGATGGTGTGTGAGGTGTGTGAGGTGTGTATGAGGTGAGTGAGGGCAGCACCTTGGTGGTGACGCGTATGTTGGCGAGCATCTGGCCGTGCGCCTCCCACTCGCTGA